CTCTCTCTCTCTCTCTCTCTCTCTCTCTCTCTCTCTCTCTCTCTCTCTCACTCATGTGCCATGCAGCTCTGAAATCTCTTCTTGGAGCACCGACCGGCTGATGCCAGCACTTCAGCTGCTTTGCTTGCGACCAAGCATCGCCAAAACTAGAGCCATTACACTCCACTGCCCACCTCCCCTCCGCGCACTCCCCAACAGCACTGCTACACCATATGTCCTTGGTAAGGGAAAGACCCCAAGTCCCCCCGCTGAAGATGCTGAACTAACAAAAAAAATCCTCTTTCGCTCCGTCTACCCCACTCAGTCTTTCTCTCCCCCGCACAAAAACGCATGCAGAGGGATTTTTATGATGTCTTCATGCACGTGCACAGATAGATCGATCGATCACTGATGCATTGTAGAGGTTGTTGTGGAAGGTCTGTGCTCTGCTATTTGCCAGGTGTTGTTTTTGTTTTCTCAGAAATACTACAGCTCAGGATTTGAGGATATCAAATTTTCCAAAGTGCCCCAAAGGCACGCCTTATTGTGCAACAAATAAACTGTCAACTAGAAGAGCATGTCATCCAAAATCAAAGACGCGGAACTAAATAGAGCACAAATGAATTGAACTTGTCACCTCCAGCCATGACTTCATTCTAGTGTGCTGGTCTCTTCTCATGCCACTGCATCATTTACTTGACTCAGACTTCGAGATGGGAAAACCTTGCTGTGACTCACATCTTGGAGAAAAACAAACAAACTTATGGTTCTTTATTGTCTCTGTCTCTGTCTACTCTCTTTTCTTGTTTCTTTTCATGAAGATGTACACATGTTATGTGTGTGTGTGAACATGTAAATTACACTCCGTGTATCTGTTGGAGGGAGTCCATCCCATTTCCACACCACCTTTACATAGATCTGATGAATGCAGCATTCAATGTCACAGCAAAGTATTACACAGCGCTCATCTCTCCTGAGAGCGAGAGGGATCACAGGGGGCTGTAATGGAGGATGGGGGAAATGAACAGAATGAGGAACAGAAAGAGATGATGAGGAGGGGGATTACGGGACGGGCATGAGGGTTGGATCAGGGTGAAATTGGTGTTTTGTCATTCCCAATACAGTAAAATGGAAAAAGGGGAGGGGATAGATGGGGGGATGGGGTGGAGCAGAGACACAATCCCCCTGTAAACCTCCTGGAAGTATATGGGCTGGATAATGTGTGACAGAGAGAGAGAGAGAGAGAGAGAGAGAGAGAGAGAGAGAGAGAGAGACAGAGAGAGAGAGAGAGAGAGACAGAGAGAGAGAGAGACACAGAGAGAGAGAGACACAGAGACACAGAGAGAGAGAGACACAGAGAGAGAGAGAGAGAGAGAGAGAGAGAGAGAGAGAGAGAGAGAGAGCATTTAAAGAGTATGGGGAAAACGCCGCTGAGCTCCCAGACTGGAACAAAGGATTGCAGTGGAGAGACAGGGCAAAAGGCACGGTTAGATCTCGAATCCCCTTTTTTTCCGTACCTCATCAGGCAGGAACAGACACAGCAGTACGGTGGGAGGCATTCTTGCAAGCATAAGTAAAGCGGCGATCAGGGTAGCAATCCAAGCACATTTATGAGCGAGGGAGGGAGGGAGAGGGAGGAGAGAGAGTAGATCTATGAGAAGAGGAGGGGGGGGGGGGGGGGGGGGGGGG